ATTAAAAAAATTTTATTTAAGTAAAAATATTTAACAAAAACTACATATGAAGAGAAAAAAAATTTTAATTATTATTTATTGACTTCAAAAAATTACTTTTTTCAAAAGTTAAATTAGGAACAACTAAATCTAACTTAAAGAAGTATTATTTTTAAATAATTAATTATGGTACTTAAAAATATTAATATATAGATTAATTTTTATTTATTACTTCATTAGTTTATTTTTAGTTGACTTAATTGATTTTTTAATTTTTTGAACATGAATTTTGAATGAAAATTTAACAACTTATATCAATAATAATTGAATTTTTTTTCTATATGAAATTCTTGTTAAGTATTTTTATTTAATTAAAAAATTAAAAAATCAAATCAAATCTATTAAAAATAAACAAAAAAAGTATTAATTATTTTATCATTTACTCTTTCTGTATTAAAATTTTAAAATAATAGATGCTTGTTAATTTTATCTTTATATTAAAAATTTAGAATAATTTTTAATTATACCTATTTTACCTTTAATGCAATAAATATAAAAAAAAACTTTTTTATTGATAGTAAATATTTAAAGTTAAGGTTGACGAACTTATCGATTCGATAATTAAAAATAATGTTATAGGAATAATTTTTTATATTATTTTTTATATAATTTTTATATATAAATAAATAAATAAATATATTTAATATCATTAATTTCACATAAATTAAAAAAATAAATCATATTAATGATACATTAAATTATATAAAAAAATAAAATAAAATAATTACACAAAAATCATTTCCCGGTAATTAATGACATTAACATTAACACTTTTCCATGACTACAATAATTACGCCCATGATGTTATGCTGTCTCATTTTTGTACTTAAATCAAGTTTCTTGCTGTCACGTCTTAATTAATATACCCATTACAAGCAGTCAACGGGAATGGTTACAACAGGTACCTTAATATTTATTATTAAAATTAAAAATACAAAAAAATATTATAAGTGTATTTAATTTAGTTATTAAAAAATGAATAATTAAATTTATTAATTAATAATATATAAAATAAATAATAAAAATCACTTAATAATTTATATATTAATTTATATATTGATTTTTTAAATATCTAAATTAGTTATAAATGGAATCAATAAATTAATTAAATCCAATAAATTTATAATATTTTTTATTAATAAATATTTATGTGGTTATAAACATAACCCCAATCAACATTGTGTTTCCTTTTCTTTTCCTTTCTTCACCTAACTTTGTGTTTGTTCACTTTGTTGAAACTCAGAAAAATTGCTAATGAGCAGGACTAGCATTTTGTTTAATTATTTGCACGTGAATCATGTGTATAAAAAAAAATTTTTCCCAAGATATCATGTCTTTTTTGGTAATGCCAAAAATATCATGTCTACTAAAAGGATTATAAGCACGCAAATCATGTGTATAATAAAATATATTTTTGCAAAGATATCACGTCAGTGTACTGAAAAAAAATTTGAGATGGATCAAGGTGGGGGGTATGGGTGATTTTTGCATTTCCTGGTCCAATTGTACCACCGTAACTCAAAAAATCTGTAGTGTCGGTGAAATGCACCCGATCAATAATTGAATCTTGTCAAAAAAATAATAATAAAATATTAATTTTTAACTCTTAATTCTTTTTTTTTTGGGTAAAGTGTAAATTTTATTATCAAAACTTCTACCATACACAAAGCAGCTCTTTATAATACAGGCTGCTACCAATATTCACCTACAAAGAATGAATTAGCTATACAAAAATGGCATATCAGTCTTTGCACAAAACTTCTAACCCCCATTTTGAAGCAATACTCTTAGGTATAAGGGAAGATTTTGCTCTAGCAAAACTAAGTACCTTATCACGGACATCTATTTGTATCTTACTTATAATTGCAAACTCACTTTTGAATGTCCATTTGTGAATTCTAGTATTCCTTTCTATCCAAATATGGTATATTGCTGCACACCATGCTAATCTTATAAGACTGCTGTATAATGATTTTCGCTTAGCCTTGTGACACAACCAAGACAAAGCAGATTGCCAAGAGAATGTGAATGGAATTTCTAACATGGAGGATATAACTTCCCAAACAGTCCTAGAGTAGAGGCATGAGAAGAACAAATGGTCTCTAGTCTCATTTTCAGCCCCACACAACACACAAGTAGCATCTATATGGGGAGACCATGATTTTTGTCTTGCTCTAGTTGAAAGCCTGTCCAAAATAGCAAGCCAAGACATAAAGCTATGTTTTGGTATAGAATTTGCAAACCAAACAAGCCTGAACCAGGGCACTTTTTCTTGTTTTTCCCTCAAATGATTCCATGTGTAACCAGTTTTGAAGGATCCTGATGGAGATGCAAGCCATATAACTGAGTCTTCTACTGCCTCATTTGGATACAGATTGCCACATAATGCAATTTGAATTTGTAATAATTCTGGGGACCTAGCAAGGGGCCATTTCCAGAAATTACCTTGCACCACTTGAGACAACTTAGCTTGTAATGGAATTGCTGTGTCCCGTACAATTTTCTGACCATAAACCTCAAGTAGTGGTCCTGTTGGATGCCAAAAGTCAAACCAGAGAAAAGTGTTCTCCCCATTTCCTATCATATGCTTGATCAAATATCTAGCCGCAGGCTTCAAGCTTAAAATTTTCCTCCAAAACCAAGAGGTGTTACCTGAAATTTTTAATGACCAGAAACTTTTCCCTTTAATCAGATATGCCTGTACCCAAGCCACCCAAATTGAACCAGCTTTAGAGAAAAGCAACCAGATGAATCTTAAAATACAAGCTTTATTCCAAGCCTGCAATGGTTTTATGCCTAGGCCGTCCTCCACTTTTGGTTTACAAACAATCTCCCAACTGACCTTTGCTCCTCTTGCATCTGTAGCTCTACCTTTCCATAAAAAAGCACTACATATAGCCTCTACGGACTTAATAACCTTCTTGGGAAGGATAAAAACAGAGCACCAAAAATTCGTAATACCTTGAAAAACTGAAGTGATGAGTTGAAGCCTTCCTGCAAAAGATAGATGTCTTGAAGTCCAAGAGTTGATTCTATCAGTAATTTTCAAGATGAGGGGCTTAAGTGCTGCATCTGTTAATCTGCCTGTTATCAAAGGCACTCCAAGGTACCTTACAGGAAGGGTCCCAAGCTTAAAACCATAAGTTGCAGCCAAATTCTTGATGATACTGTCTTGTACTCCACAATAGTAAATCTCTGACTTCTGGTAATTTACTTTCAACGCTGTTATTGAATAAAACTCCTTTAAAATAGAGTCAACAACACTTATAGCCTTGGGTGATCCATCTGTAAAAATCAAGAGATCATCTGCAAAACACAGATGGGTGAGGCCTATGTTACTGCATTTTGGGTGAAATGGTAGTCTTCCTTCTTGAGCAGCTTTATTAAGAAGCCTGGACAAGACCTCCATACAAATGACAAACAGATAAGGGGACAAGGGGTCCCTTTGCCTTACTCCTTTTTTTCCCGGGAAATAACCCTCCAAGGCTCCATTTATAGCAATAGAAAACATAGGGGAGGTAATGCAAACTTTAATCCAGTTTACAAAAACAAGGGGAAAGGATAATGCTTCCAAAGCTGCAAGAATAAACTTCCAACTAATTGAGTCAAAAGCCTTCATTAAATCAATCTTGAGAGCACATCTGGACTGCATATTAGTCTTGTGATAATCTTTAACCAGCTCTTGAGTAAGCAGAATATTTTCGACCATCAATCTCCCCTCAACAAAAGCACATTGATTATTGCTAATGAATAATGGCAAGCACTTCTTCAGTCTATTAGCAATTATCTTAGTAATGCATTTGTATAACAAATTGCAGCATGAAATGGGCCTAAATTCACCCATTTTAGAGGGGCAAGACACCTTCGGTATTAAGGAGATTATTGTAGAATTCACCTCTTTAAGCAGTTTTCCGGTGGAGAAAAACTCTTTAATAGCTTTCGTAACAAGATCCCTAACAACAGACCAAGCACTCTTGTAAAACTCGGCTGTATAACCATCTAGACCAAGGCTTTTATTGTTTGGACTGCTGAAAAATATCTGCTTACACTCTTCTGCAGTGACAGGTTGTATTATAGCTTGCTGCATTGTGTTTGGAAGCTGGAAGTTGTATAGTGTTTTCAGCAGTTCAAGCTCACCACCCAAACAAGAAGGGTCCTCAGTTCCAAGGAGCTTTTGGTAGAAGGCAATAGCCTCTCTTGCAATGTCTGCATGTTGAGTAAGCACCTTACCATCATCAGAATGCAGCTCCCTAATTGAGTTTTTGCATCTTCTTATTTTCAGGATTTTATGAAAATATGTTGTATTTTGGTCACCCTCTTTGAGCCAATGAACCCTTGACTTTTGCTTCAAAAATGCTTCCTCAGCAAATGTTAAATCTGCCACTCTTTTTGCTTGCTCTTGTTCTATTATCACCAAGTCTTCTTGTGGATTAGACAAAAGATCAATTTGGATAGCATGCAGCTTCTCTGTTTCCTTAATAAGCCTTTCATGTAAGTCACCATATGAGTTCTTATTCAACTGCCTGAAAGAAGCTTTAAGTGCTTTTAGCTTTCTGCAAAGTTGAAACATGTAGCACCTTTGAACTTCAATAGAAGACCAAATATCCTGAACAATGCTTAGAAATTGTTCATCTTTTGTCCAAAAATTGAAGAATTTGAACGGTCTCCTTAAATGATTGCTAGGTGACTCCATAATAGTTATAGATCCTGCACAGTGATCTGAAATATCCGGAGGTAGGAATTCAGCTCTGGTATTAGGAAAAATCTCTAACCATTTGCTGTTGACCATTAATCTGTCCAATTTTCTGGCAATAAGGCCCACTTCCCTCTTGTTTGTCCATGTAAACAGAGGACCAAATGCAGGAAGATCAATAAGTTCTGCATCATTCAACTTATCATTGAACAGTTCAGACTCCTTTGAGCATTGCTTTGTGGTACACCAATTAGAGCTCTCTTTAGGATTTCGGATTTCATTGAAATCACCCCCAACAAACCATGGTACTTCTGGCAACTTTTGTTTCAAAGTAACTAAATCATCCCATAATAAACTTCTCTGATCAGGATCATTATCTGCATAGAGGAAGCTAGCAAACATATAGTGTTTAGTTCTGGTGTCAAGCACATGACAGTGTATAGCTTGGCGATGGGCACTTAAAATTTTCACAGTGATATGAGGCTTCCATAATATCCAGATTCTACCTAGAGAGGCATAGTTATAATTTCCAGACTTACACCACCCTGGAAGGATAAACTCAGCTATTGTATCAAACTTAGGCAACTGTACATGTGTTTCAATCAAACAGACAACATCAGCATCCCAATTTCTTAGAGTTTTTCTAAGTTCTTTATGCTTTTGTGATTTATTGATTCCTCTAACATTCCAAGTTATGATCCTCATTTATGATGTGGAAGTAAAGGTACCTCACTGGAGGAATTTGCAACTTTCTTTGTATTTCTTTGCCGAGGAAGCAAGGTCTTTGTAACAGCTGCTACCCCTAAAGACGCCTGCCTTTGCTTCTTTAAGGACTTAGGGGATTTCGAGGACACTTGGAGTGGAGGAAAGACTTGCTCATCATCAATATTAGCCAAGACCTCAAATGTATTCTGTCCATCTTTGCAAGACTTTAGCTTAGCAATAGGCTGCTCACAATGAACTGTTGCTACAGCTTGTATATCAACCATGGGCTCTTTCATAACTGTATTTGACCGGACAATTGGAGATTTTGCATGTAACTCCTTAACTGGCCGAACTGAAGTGACCTTATCATCTACTTTCTTTGCTAATTCACCGTCTTGCATGGGCTGTGAATTTTGCATTTTTCCCTTACCAGTAACCTCCACCCATTCCTTCTTTTGAGCCTGTGGCCTCTGCTTCCTCATCCTACAGTTCTTGCTTGCATGCCCTCGTTTGTTGCAGGAACTTTATGTTATTGGCAGCCAAGGGTATTGTACCCTTACTTTCATAGAAGGAAAGTCTTCAACATCAATAGGGCTGAATTTTGGTAAATCCTGAGCAAAATCAACATCTATTTCAACACAGACTTTTGCAAAATCAACTCGGGCCCTTTCCTCTGTGGCCTTATCTAGAGCTAGAGGAACCCCAATTGCACTGGCAATGTAGCTTAGCCCTTCCACCGAGAGATACTCCATGGGGACCTTCCAAAGCTTCACCCAAATTGGGACTCTTTTCGGATCTTGTTTAACTACCTCATAATTCGGCTCCCACTTACGCATCACTAGCGTCTTGAAAGCAACATGCCACGGTCCTGAATTCAAGATCCAATTTCTGGTTGCAGGGTTTGGAATCTTGAATAAGAAAGAATTGTCCCCTAAGCCAGTTACTGAAATAGTACATTTTCTCCCCCAAACTCTCTTTGCCATACTTAAGATGCGTCCATAGTTGGGGGCCTCACTTATGAAAGTGCCAATTAAGCAATCTTCCCACAATTTGACACCTTCATCTCGTACCGTGCGAGGTAATTTCACCTTCAATTTTCCATCTTCAAGAACAGGGGGGTGAAAGGTGAGGGGTTTCGAAGAACCCTGGGTGACAGCAGCCCATGAGGTGGGTCGACTCTCTGAGACTAGCATTGGTGGCAGAGAACCAGGGGACACTACGTGGACTGGAATGGCCGGATAAGAGCTATTAACTTGGGCCAAGGAAGCAGCACCCGTAATAGCAAGAATCTCAGCCTGAATCTTATCACGAGACAAAGAAGCAATCTCCACAGAGGAAGAAGAAACTAAAGATGATGGACAGGACGGAATAGATGGAGAAGAAAGAGAAGAAAGTGCCATGAAAATTGACACTGAAACTAGGTTTTG